TAATAGAACATGATTTTCAAGAACAGTTTTCTTTCAATATTTGAGTTGGAATTGTCGGTGACTATCTCATTGGGCCTCATTTTCTTCCAATTAGACTAAATGGAGGAGAATACCGAAGTTTTTTAGAAATTGATTTACCTGTGATATATGCACGACAGGGATCCACTACATTTTATAGTGGCGCGGCAATTTTTGGATGAAAACTACCGTAATCGTTGGATTGGGAGATCAGGCTCAACCCTTAGATTATTTTCTCTGGGGACACCTTAAAGCGTTGGTATACAAAATTCCTATTGGAAGTGAAGAAGATTTACGGAATAGAATCATTAATTCATGTGACATAATAAAAAATACGCCAGGTATTTTCAGGAGAGTGCGTAATTCAATGATGAGGCGGCTAGACGGTTGCATTGAAGCCGAAGGGGGCCATTTTCAACACTTAATTTAGTGAAATGTGTTAGTCTAGATACATAATTAGTAGTAATAAATTATAAAAAAATAATTTCCAAAATGAATTTATTTCCTTATTCCTTGTTTGGTCCAGAGACATGCAATTAAGTGGTATTTTTTTGCTCAAAATTTAAGCAAGATACGGAAAAATGCAAGAGGCGAAAAAGTTGTATTTCTATTTGCTCAGCGCCGTATATTTTTTTGTCTCAAATATTCGTTCAGAACCCGCTCGAGACGCTACTGGACTTAATAAATTTAATCAAGTTAGGACTAAATTATCTCTTTAATGTTACAAATACCACCGCCAAATTACAACAAAATTAGGTAAAGAATATTTAAGATATTTACGAAAAAACATTTTTAAATTTCAACACCTTGTATCTTGAGAACGAAGAATTTGCGGACCATGTCTATATGAATTCTTTCCTTAAAATTACTCAAGAATCGTTTGTTAAATTTATGGCTCATACTTAATTAACACCGTCTGTATATGAATTTCCCCATGCATTTGCTCCGAAAATTTGTTAATATCAAACGGACGTGTCGCGTCTAGGTACGCTACGAATTTACACCGATGCACACAAAAACCATCTTCACTGCTCGAGCTGGCCAGCATAGCATGGTTGACGTTATTAGATGGTCGATACTTTCAGTAAGAGTAGGGGAGAAATTTCTAGGACGCAGCGTTATCGAACGGGTGGGGACTATGGACTGACCGTCTTGGCCTGCTTGAATCACAAAGAAGGTTCTTATGATTTTTTCTCTGAAAAGTTGATAATTTTCAAGATACAAGCGATTCAATATTTGGGGAAAAGCGAAATATGCCATTTGCATGACTGATCTTTTGAAGCTATCTAATTATTTCATTTCCTGATAATTTTATCAATAGATGCATTTTAACCGTTTATAACACATCCATTAATAAAATCTCAAACCATTTTAGGAGGTATTGTTATTATAAACCCTGGTTTTCAATTGTTAAACAGTCATGTGACGCAAGTTGCGCGTACGTGGCAGATATTAAGCTACTATTTACGCTTGGCAATAACATCAAATCTTCGTAACAGCGGTCATTTTTCACGATGAGTATTTCAACTTTAGTTTAACTCCATCGCGGTTAAAAATTTGATAAATGTCATAAATCCTAAACCGACAAAATACGTAGATTGTATCATCAACCAGATACGATCATGTCGATAATATGCGGTAGCAAAGCTGAAGCCATTCGTATGAAGATAGCAAAAAAGAAATTGATACGTCTTGTAAAGAATTACCGTTGAAACCATATAAATACTGTGACATGTAACCGTTGTTTAACGGTGGAACGCTTTGCGATCAGATTAAACCAGCTGTTTCTTAGAATATTGGAAAAAATCTAATTTCAGAAGTTGTACTTCAGTTTGAGGTCAATGATAACGTCCTACTTTTGGTTTCGAACGGTGATGTATTAATTAGGCAATTATAATTCTGGTCTATACAGGGCTTTTAGGCTTTTCATAATCTTTGCATCTTTGCATGCATGTGTTTAATCTCTTTTTTATGAATATTTTGCCCTTTTTCTCCGAGAAGTAACTACATTATTTGGAAGATATTGGGGTATACATGTTTTTTTAATGAAATTCCCTTGATAAGTGTCAGTGGAGCCATATAAAGTGAGTAGTTTACACTACCCCTGTGGAATGTTAACAAATTCCAAAAAAATTGTATCTAACTCAATAAAAACCTTGTATTTTTGAAGAGCTTGATATTCTAACTGGATATAAGCTTTCTGAAAAGCGTCACATAATTTTTGTTAGTAAATTTATATTCCTGCAAATATGCCTCGTCCGTCATGTTTAATACAAAAATCATTAAATTATAACACATTGAAATAAACCGTTTACCGGGTAAGAAAAGAACAACTCAGATTTTAATAAAATTTTCATACTATTCCAAGGACAAGAAAGCTTTGTAGCTTTTGGAAGGCGGTCTAGTGGCGACGGACCTACGATCCAAAAAACATATGACGTACAAGTTTATAAATAGTGCAAACCAAATGAAGTAAATTTTTCAATATTAGAATTGAATATGAACCTAGAAATAATTATCGATCATTCAAAAAATTAAAGCCTGCTCAAGTCAGGCATTGTTTTAGGTGATACCATTGTTGAAATTATAGAAGAAACTAGAAACTTAGGAGTTGAACAGAACTCAAGCTTTGAGAATCATATCATAAGTAAGATTATGCTATTATAAATATGTCACTTTGGCGATACAAATATATGTAACACCTGAAACTTATCCTGCGATTTTCGTGCCGATAATCCTCCACGTTTATTTGGCCGCCAAATGAAACCACATATGTGAAGTACGGTGACGGTGGCATATCATAGAGCTTTGATAATTGATTATTGAGTACCAAAAAGCTCAAGTTTTTCTCTGGTTACGTTTTCCACTGGCAACTCCATGCTGCTTGTTATTGAAAAGCGTAAGTAACGACTTCCTGAAGAATTATTTCGGTACGCGTTTAAGGTCTTGGAAATTTTATCGCGGTACGCGCAATTTTCTTTTCTTGGAACAGCATTTAACCGGGCAAGTTTGTATTTTAACATCAAAATACGTAGGACGCACGCGATATAACCAAAAATTTGAATGTGTGAAATTTGTATGTCAACTACCATTACTTATTTCAAACTATTCAATTATTAATGAATCCAGTTATCATTTATGAATAGGCGGAAACCTCGCATTCGCCAGAGAAGTTTACGAAATCTATTTCTTTTTCATGGACATGAAACTGGAGGTAGCTGCTCGTTAACCCGGCTCAATTTTTTTAAACATTTTTTTTTTTAATTATTCTCAAAAAAATGTTTTTTCGCTCATACATTTCTTTCCAGGTCTGTTAATTCTGACCAAAAAGTCTCCAGTAACTTTTCGCTAAAGTTGATCGTTGTTTGTTAGACAAAAATTGGCGAACATTTGATGTTCGTAGACTGTACATAAATAATTCATTTGAACGAAATGTCTAATTAACTTGAAATCGTTTACAATCTCTTGTAGGAGCTGAATGTTTCGTTTATACATGTAGACTTTGGTGAAGACTGAGGACACAGTTAATCAGGGAAAGTTTCAATTTCATGACCATTCCCGTGACCTTTAGATTTCACTTGGTTTCCCTTTCTTTTTATTCCGATAACATTTGAGTGGAACATAAATCAGCGATTTGATGAATGTTTATTGATAGCGTATGGTTATTTTTATATATATTTAATTAATTCATTGAAGAGTGCAATTTTCCAACCAAGAGAGGCAATATTGACACCTTTACTCTACTTAGTCTAGGTGAAATCCTCGCATTTCGTGAAAGAATTTTGGAATCCAAATTTTTTATAATCATGTTTGTTGGATGCCCCCCTACAAGACCCTGTGGAGTATGTTGGACTTAGTTTTTTAAAGTATTGTATTCAGTTAATAACTGGTCACACTGGGAATTATTTTGACAATAAAATAACTATGCTTTAAAATAGCCCAAGATACTTGTAGGGGAAGATTTGAGCTTTAATTTAGTCACATGGTAGCCGAAAAATTAACAATTTTAAATTGAATTTTAATCATTGAAAATGGCAATATTGAAGGTCTTTTATACTTTGAATCACTTATAACTCGAACACCGCCATCTTTAAAGAATAATGCCTTTTTTATTTAGAATAATCCAATAAATCTGAAAAACTGTCCGGAACAAAAGAGCCATTTTGTGATTTGTTTAAACCTTGTCTAATCAACAAGTAAGCTGGCGAGAACGTTTGATTTTCGAGTGGTATTGCTAATGAATACGGGGTAACACCACTGTAACCGCCTAAAAAGGTATTTGTTTGCATTAATAATGTAAAGTGGTAATCAAATAATGATATTGGAGGAAGCTATTAAACATATATTTAAGTAACAAAAAAGAAAATTACCACGAGAGAATATCCAAAATCGTGACTACCGCATTTTTCTCGAAAGGCGATATTTCAAAATGGCACGCAGCACAACCCAAAGAACTCTAATTCTTTTCATTCGATTTTTTTACAAAATCTTAAAATAACATTTTGAAGTGAAATGTCGATGAGATTTCCGATAAGTTAACAAATGATTACCTTTGCTTTTCGTCTCAAACTGTGAACATGTTAAGTCAAATACTCGCTAGCCGCACAAACATCAATATTTTCAAAAACCCTTGCGTATTTCTTTAGCTATAGATATGTACAATAAGTATATTTCTTTTTTCCGCGTGCCTCGCAAAAATGACTGCAGTGCCGCCATTTTTGAATATTTTTTGTTGTATTTTTTGTTACTTAACTATATACTCAATAACTACCTTCAATATTATTATTTTATAACCTTTTTTTCCCTAAAAAAAAAAACATGGCAAAAACACTTTTTAGGTCCTTGCAGTGGTGTTGCACTTTGATAAAGCAACGCTGAAGCATATTGACGAAAATTGTTCGATATGTTATTTCTGTTATTACTGCATATTTAATATCTAATCGATTTTCGCAAAAAAATTTTACTGTATATTTTTGTTACAGGATGTCAACATTGTTGAAATGGGCGCAAAATACACAAGGAAAACTAAATGGCAAAACTAGTGCGACGAATGGAGAGCGAAAATGGATTCATCCACCCGAGGCATTACAAAAGGGCCATATAGCGTATTTGGTGAAATTTTTAGGAAATACCGTTGTTGACCAACCAAAAGGTATGTTTAGACAAATAATTCAAAGTTGAACTAATTCGTAGCTCAGTCCTTCGCGATTCATTTTTTGGGTTCTCCTGAGTTTACGCTGCACTCGTGATCTTTCGGAACGTACGCTTTAGATTTTTTGTGGACAAATCAATTTTGTTTGACTACACCAGCAACTGACTATGAATCTGAAGACATAGAGAACCGATGACATGTACTTCACAAAAAACAATGTCACTCATCTCCGTCGGTCTGTTTTTCCGCTAATCCTTGGCCCCGCTATAACTTAAAAAGTACCGGTTAGACTTTAATGAAATTTCCACACAGGTTTGCTAATATACCAAAGACGAAAAACCTAAATGATAGGTAGTCTCAACTATTCCGCTTCTTTTAACAATGGCCTTTATATGATCTTGAAGCGAACTTCAAATGCTCTCATAGAGATGAACTATGTACTTCCAGATTAGAAAACGGCGACCCAGCTGTAGAAATTGTATTTTTTGCCAGCTTAACGTTGACTTAGAAATATGTTGCATATTCAAACCATTTGTCCAGAATTGCGTGGGAAGTACAGTGTCACATATGACCTAGTATCCATATCACTTCAAGGTCTGAAGATTAAAGTAGGTAAGGCAGGAGCTGAGATTACGCCAAGATAAAAATAAAGACGAACTGTCTGAGAAATCGAAGGAGATTATTGACATGCACTTCCGTAGAACCTCAAAAAAGATTCATAATTTCCTTTATGTATGGGAAGCAAAAAATACTAACACGCGCCTTGCGATTAGCTTCAGAATATAAACAAGGATGCATTATGTGTTGTTTTGAAAGTTTAATTTATTATGATAAATCGTTGATACGAAAATAATAAAATGATTTAATCTATAAATTATATTATTGATGTGACCTTAGTGGGACTAATGAACTCTCAGATTATATGAGAAATATTCCGGAATGATAACTCATTGTATATTTATCAGTAACACCTATTATCCCGCCTATTATAAATGAAATAATCTATTTCCATGTTTACGAGTCCTTATTTTTTGTTATTTATGTTTTGAAAATCTAAAAATAATTCACATGAGCACAACTGGCAGCACTCACAAGTTTAGCGATTCTTTTGTAACCTTTATAAGACACCTAATACTGCGCTGCGTATGTAAGTGATTTAAGTAGTTAAATGCACAGTGTTGTAACAGTTCCCACTTGTTCGATTAATATTCGAAAATAACATTTTTTTTGGTTAATAAAATATATTTTTGCAAACGTTGCCGATTGCCCTTCTGACAGCTGCAGTTCCTAATATCTATGCAATTATTCCAGGTATAGAAGTAGTGAAAGAGGGCATCCGCAAACTCCGCTTCAGCCAGCAACTGAAGAAAAGCGAAACTGGTGCAAAGACGCGGAAAGTTGAACTTACAATCAGTATAGATGGCGTGACTATACAAGAACCTCGAACACACACCATCTTACATCAATTTCCCTTGCATCGGATATCGTACTGTGCTGACGACAAGGTATCTATCTGGCATTTGATTTATAAACAGTGCTCTCTCAAATTGTCTGACGGGAGGTCAGGCCTACGTGGATCCCGGCTGAGTTATTACTTGAAAAACATAAATATTTTGTCAAAAAGAAAACGATAAAATGTCAACTTGTTGACTTAGCAGACTAGTGTGCAAATAGTTCATTCCGCGCTTGCTACAAGTGAGTATGAAGTGAACACACAGCTAGTTCCAAGTTGACGTCTTGAAGGAAAACCTAGATAGTGTCATAAAAAACCTACATACCATAAAACTTCCCACGGCACTGGCGTGTTGCGAAAAGTTTCTAAAATGATATATTATGTTTTTTGGATGTTATATGACATGCACGTCACGAAAAACCATGTCAATCATTATCGTTTGTCTATCTGTCTGTCGATTTGTCTGCTAATATTTGGCCCATCTATAACTTGGAAAGCACGGCTCGGAATTTGATGAAATTTTCACACAAGGTTACTACTATGTCAATGACGAAAACGATTTGTAGATAAAAATTGCCCAAACTTCTTTTTTGGCGTTTTAGAGGCTCCTGATCATTTTCTGAACACAATTTGGAGAGGTTGAAAATTGGGGGATGTTGGGCTTATATCTCAATTTCTTGGCGGTAGTATATTTCTACGCTTCTAACTCCGAAAATTCTGCGCACCTATCGGACATTTTCCACATATTATAGATTTCCCGGTACATTTGTCCTTAAAAGTTGGATTGATAAATAACGACACACGTTTCTCTCTGGATTGACTGGCGTCACATTCTCATCTCTGCCGAGTAAATGCATCGAACGGTGAGGTATGGGAGGAGGGGCGACGTTGCCAGATGGACTGTATTATCGGTAGGGCAGGAAAAATATATCTGTGGACTAATTGTATTAGCCTGTGCATCGAACGGTGAGGTATGGGAGGAGGGGCGACGTTGCCAGATGGACTGTATTATCGGTAGGGCAGGAAAAATATATCTGTGGACTAATTGTATTAGCCTGTACGACTGACTTGACCCATTTGATTTCTGTTTTACGTGTTCCTAGCAAATGTTTTTCTCGAGCATCTAACTTGCACCGAACATAATCATTCATGAATTGATGGTAGTTTTACATGGAAAGTGCAGACATCAGTTTTTTTGACAAATTATTGGTGGGAATATGTATGAGATGTGAATATAACCTAAAACCGTTGATACATATATAGAGGATAATAATACAGGAGTTTTTACATGTATAGGGCGAGAAGAAATTTTTCTCCTTCATCGCAAAGCAGCCAAATCAGTTGGACAATGAAGCGGAGGATAGTCATGAGTGTTTTGTCTTCATTTCGGACAAATTGGCCGAAGAGATCACCTTAACGATAGGACAAGCATTTGAATTAGCGTATAAGCGATTTTTAGGTGAGTACATATCAGTAAAAACAAAACGGCCTCATGAAAAAACATTAACGCCCCATCGACTGTCATAGTGCGATAAACGCTCCTGAGCATCTATAATTCTAAAATAATGCTAGGATTTTTTCATTACTGTTTATGTCCACACCATCGATCCACGGAAAACCTCATAGCTCAAGTCTCGCAACCTTGGAGTAAACTCATCCAGTCTTAAGGTGAGCCTCCTCCTTCCTATGGCTTCCCAGAGAAGCTTTGCAGATAAGTGTCTGACTAGGTACGTCATCTATGATCCCAGGATATCCGTTGGAATTGATGGATTCTCCTCTTCATCCCACCTTGCTCATGTCCAACCCATCCCAAAAAAGGATCTGACTGACCCTTACAACTACAGGTCTATAGCTCTGCTTTCTGTTATAAGTAAGGTGATGAAGAGGTCCATAAATCACGAGCTTCTGGACTACCTCGAACGTCGCAGGTTAATTAGCGACAGGCACTATGGTTTCCGGCACCAACGATCCACAGGGGACCTCCTAGCTTACGTCACGCAATTGTGGAGTAAACTCGTCCAGTCTTATGGTGACGCTCATGTAGTTGCTCTTGACATCACGAAAGCGTTCCCACAACGTCAACGCGGGTGCTCCCCAGGGATCGGTCTTGGCTCCAACACTATTTCTCTTACATATCAACGACCTCCTTTCCTGCACGATCAACCCAATCCACAGCTTCGCTGATGTCAGCACTACATGCAGGAATTCAGAGTGACAAACCGATCTCTGCCGCTGAGATGGAAAAAAGAAGACTAGCGACGACTTCCTCTCTGACAAGAGACCTGGAGGCCATCACTGCTTGGGGACGCAACAATCTTGTACAGTTCAATGCTTCCAAAACAGAGTACTGTACTTTGACGAAAAAAAGCGTCCTAGCGCTTATCCAGTTTCGATGGACGACCGAGTTCTGCCAAAGAGTCATTCATTTCGGCTGGTCGGAGTGCAGATCACCGAGGACTTGAACTGAATGAACGCATCTCGTCCATAGCGGCAGCTTCTATAAAAAAGCTAGGCTATTTGTTTGAGCTAAGCAGTGCATAACCTCCTCACTATGTACAAGGCCCAGATAAGACCTAGCCTCGAATACTGCTCACGTTTGGGGTGCTGCCGCTGCGACTACATGTCCTTGCTGTTCTGAGGAAGGCTGTTCGACTCATCGAATGGCTCGTTTTCAACCGACAGTTCCGGCCCCTTTCGCACTAACGGGCTTTTGGCGATCTGTCTCTGATCTACGGCTATGTTATCGGGCTTTGCTACTCAGAGTTCTTTTCCTTGATGCGGCTGCACATTTTGAGCTTGCCATACGAGCCCACCAGGCATCTGCCTTCCATCCTAACTCTGCCAAACTTCGGCACTGACGGGCCGTCGGTGACATAGCTGTCTTCTATCAGTGTGTCAACAGGCTTTAGTCCTCGGAGCTCTCCTCCACGAGGCCGCCGCGCGATGTGCTTGCCAGACAGACCCGCCTGCTTTCGGCATCCCATCTTAACCGTATCGAATTTCGTACATCCAGAACTAGTCGATACGACCGCTCCTTTATTCCTATGGTATCGACATAATGGAGCAATCTACATGATGAGGCTTTTCCCAGTTCTACGAGTACTAACCTATTTATTTTAAAGATCGGATTAGCAAGGTTTCTTTAATCTCTTCATAGCAGCAGCGGTGCACTGGTATTTAGGCCTACGCGGCTGCTTCCGTATAAAAAAACATATAGGCAAAATATTTGATCATACTTCTTTATATTCAGAGACCTCTGGAAAAGATTTGGAGTCGCAACGAAGAGCAATGATAACCCAACAGAAAATCAAGAGATTAGAGCAAGAAAATAACGTTTACAAACAGAGGTTGCTAGAAATGTCGCAGTTTAGCAATATTAAGCCGGAACTGGATCAGTATTTGAGGAAGCACGACATTAAGAATATACTCGAAATAAAGAATGAAAGTGATAAGTCAAACCATGTGAATAACAATGTAGTAGCACAAACGAATGGAACTACCAAGGAGCTGCTCGATCTGAGTTCAGAGAACGGAGATGGTAAGTTAGCGAATGAGTAAAAAATTTAGGGAAGTTTTTTTATTTTTTTTTTGATCTATTGCTATAAGTTTTTCCACGATTTTTGGCGGACCTCGGTAAAATTACAATAATTACTTTCATACATCAATCTTCCTCACACATACATATGCAATCAGCCTGTATGCGCGGACTTGTGTTTGTACAAACTCAAAGACATTCACTTTTTAGTTTTGTATCACCGCCATGCAAATTTTCTCGTCAACGTACGAGCTTCCCACATTTGTGGTTGTAACTGTCAGTATGACAACTTGCTTGTCTTTGGCGTGTGATTTGTGTTTACCCATGTTGATTTTAGATATAAAACATAGTAGTGCCTATACATACAACTACAATGTCGACCGTCTGTATAAGAAGTATTTTCAGAAAGTGAGTAAAAACAACAGTCATCACATAATTCATATGCGTGTACAAGAGTAAATAGCAGCTGCATTGCGGATCGGCTTGCACAGTTTGCAATTTCCCTTGTTGAAAGTGATACCATTACTCAATCTGTCTACCCCTTTCGGATGGCACTGTGACTTTACCGCCAAAAACCGTGAAAAGAGCTATACACCTTTTCGCCTTTTTTGGTCATTCAAAATGTCTTCGAATTATACAGTGTCGTTCAAAAGTGGCACCCTTTAGCGGCCTGCATCTCCGTAGGGGAGCCCCGCACGACAATTTTTTAGGAACTTATGGCATTATATATCATGCGGAGAAAGGTATATAACAAAAAATGGGAAAATAAATCTGCAAAAAGAAGGAAAGAGGATTCGACCAGAAAATAGGATAAGTAACCCGAGCAATACGTATTTCTCCTTGTTGGCTTCATCGGGCCCGAAATGAATGCACATATGCAACCACGTATTGCTCGGGTTACCTATCCTATTTTCTTCTCGAATCCACTTTCCTTCTTTTTGCGGATTTTGCCCATTATTTTCCTATTTTTTGTTATATATGTATATTTGTATATATATATACAAGCACACACTCGAGAGGTTGATATGTAATTCTGGGACACCATGTATAAGGCAGAACATTAATGTGACTGATTTTTAATTTATTAAAGATTTTATCTTTTCAAACATCAATATTATCCTCTTCAAAGTAGTTATCTTGGGCAGCTACACACCAAAGGAGACGTTCCCAGTCTTGATGATAGTGTTGGAAGGCTTCAACCAGTATGACATTCATCATGTCCGTCACACCTTTTTGAATGTTTTCTAAAGTCTACAAATGATTTCTCTTTCAGGATATGTTTGAAGTTTCGGAAAAAGGAAAAAGTTTCCATGACTTAGATCAGATCAAGCACCAGAGGAATGCCTTTTGAAGTAAAACATTCTGTAACGGAGATGGCAGCGTGACATGAAGTGTTTTTATGATGGAGCATCTGCTTGTCTGCAATGTCTGGTCTCACGTGACTGACCCTTTTTCTGAGCCTTTTAATGACGCAGTTATACAAAACTTGGTCGTCATTTTGTCCTGGGGGAACAAATATTCTTTGTATATGATTCCCTTTCTGTCAAAAAAACAAATCAGCATTTATTTGATCTTGTATGTGTTCATTCAAGCCTTCTTTGATCGAAGAGACCTTGCAGTCCTGACTTTACCTCTTGGTCTGAGGATCTAGAAAATTCAGGATCTGTAATCACACGACTAAAGAAATCTTATGCTCAAATGTGAGGTTTTTCGGTATCATTTTTCGCACAGATCTTTCGCATGTGCTAATGTTAAGTCCAAATTTGATGATCCTAAAAAGGTAACTCAACATTTCTTAATGTTAAACGACGGTCTGATCTCACAAGAGTGTTGACACGTTCGACGTTCTCGTTGAGGCCTCCCTTTTCTGGGTTCATCTTTAATGCCTCTGCCTTCCAAAAATCAATTGACGAATCAGGTGGTTACCGGACAGAGTTGAAGTTTGCGCGGAGCGACGGGAGGGAACTGACACAAGTGTCCTATGAAGGTCAACTGCGCAGCGTTGCTAGATTGCTCGCAGTGTTGCCAGTCTCATTAGTTTTCTGCCACACCTCATGAACCGTTCTAATGCCTAATCTAACAAAATTATTTTTAGCACCGCCTGTACCCCCAAGGTCATTCGACAACACTCCTTCAGTCGGTACGAAGTTGGAAGGTCTGTTACTGAACGAGCTTGACCACGATGACGATTTTGACCCTAGATCTTTCGAAAACAATCACCAGGGTCATAATAATGGGACAAATGGCAATTCAACGCATCCTCCTCTCAGTAAGTACACTTTTTGCATTAACGCAAAAAAAACGTATTTTGATTTTATAAAATTCCTATATCCCAGAGGTTGACGTCAAGCCGGAAACGGGGAATAGGCCAAGCCATAATAGTTATAAAAAAGGAAATATAAACAAATCTAAGTCGGGTACATTTCAAATTATAGGCTTTAAAAAATTGGAAAAAGCTACACCCTGTGATGATTTTTTTTTGTTCTGTTATTGGCACTGGTCAATGACCAATTGGCCAGATTCTTATGTTCAGTATAATGCTATGCTTTAATAGAACATCCATTACTTAATATTACCACTGTATTATTTCTATTATAGTTACAAAGAGTATCTGAACACATATTGCTCTTTTTTAAGTTTTTTTTCAACCAATACTTTTTACTTAAAAAATGTCGCACAAGATATGTGTTGCTGTAAATTCTATCAAAAGCATAGTAAATTATCAGGAATATACCACGCCTTTCTAATCTTATTTCTACATTAGGAATCAGTGCAAAAAATTCTGTATTCACCATTTCAGCAAAATGTTACTAAAACGCACACGAAAAAAACTTGTGGACCATCTCAATTGAAATTGTTCATATTTTATTATTAACTTACATATATACCCAATAATATTTACAAATCAACCTTCTATTCACAATGCAGAGCAAATTTTTTTGAGCAAATAGAAACTACAGACGTAGTAGTAGTAGTACAAAAGTTTATTACAGACTCCATAAAGTTTGTTAGTTTGATTGCTATTAAAATTTACATGAGAAATAGGAAGAAGGTCAAAATGGCACTATTATGCTTTGGAACTCCTAAATTAACCTTAATTTTGTGTAATTATAAATTTGGAATTTCCACATTAATAACTAGAAGCTTACACTTTGATTGCAGTCTATAATGAACTTACCTGTCTTGCCAAAAAGCCCGTTAAACTGCCAGTCTTAATGGTATCAAACGATTTATATGCTGTATTCCGAGGAGCTTGAATCATCAGAATTGTTGATGTCAATTATAAGGGGTTCAACTTGGGTGTCAATGATATTGTCCATATCCCACATTTTGGTTTCAACCTTCTCTTGGACATGGTCAATACATGTTCTCCATTTTGCTGGCGTAATTCTATCGACAGCAACATCAAACAGTTTTTTAAGGTCAGAAAACTTAAAAGTGCTGTTATTTGACGCCACGTATTGCTTGATGTCGGCCCAAATCAACTCGATAGGATTCAGTTCGCAGTGATAGGGAGGCAGCCTGAGAATCGTTTTATTTTGGTTTTTGGCCATTTCGTCAACAATTTTTAAATCATATTTATACTTATGTCGCTTGACTATATTTATCAGCTCAGCTTTGACCATTGTTTGGTCGAAGTCGATCTTCTTTGAGACAAGCCACTGTTGAATGTCTGCCTTTTTGGTGGCCATTGTTGGAATTTTTTCCAATTTTCTGGAGTGGTACGGGGCATTATCCATCACAATAATTGCGTTATCATCAAGTGTCGGCAAAATTTTTTTGAACCAATTTTCAAATGAGTTACCATCCATTTCTTCGTGATAGTCTCCAGTTTTTTTGGATTGAAATGCCCACAATGCTTCAGGAACAAATCCATCTACGCTACCTATGTGGCAAATGATCAGGCGTTTTCCCTTGCCTGAAAGTAATTAGTTATTTTACTTCTCAGCGAGCGCACTAAATGACGAAATTAAGCAACTTACTCTTTTTAGGTTAGTGTAGGATAGGGTCTTAGATTAGTTTTTGGGTGAAGGAAATACTCAGAAACTTGGATGAGATAGCAAAACTGAGTTCGGAGCTTCCAAATCATTGATTCGATCAGAAAATGAATTATCTGCATCCAAAAAAGTTCATATACTTCGAAACTTACCTGCAGGATTTTTCAATCCCGTCGAAAGGCCATCTAAAAAAGCCTGCCTTGAGGACCTTACAGATCTGTCTACCCAAACCTTTCCCTGCGTATGCCCCGCGTTCACCCATGTTTCGTCTAAATAATAAATTTTTCTTCCTTCAGCGCGGAATTGCCTAATTTTTCTAAGGTATTCTCTCCTCCAGATAACAATTTCCTCCTTTTCTATCAATAAACTATTTCTTCCTCTTTTCAAAAATCGAAAGTCTAGTTCTTTCAACAGCTTATGGAACGTAGATCTTTTAAAATTTGGCAGGTCCTCATCATCATTCACTTGCTTCAATATTTTATCTATTGTAGGTATTTCATTCCTGAAGAAAAAGTGATGTACTTTTCTTCTAATGGCACTTTTGTCAAAGTCATCTATTTTTTCTATGTTTTTTTTCTCGCTGGATATGTTTTTGACTCAGATAGTGAGTGATTTTGGCTATATTCCTTCAAGATTTTGTAAACACTTGATCGACCTACTCCAGAAATTTCAGCAACCTTACATACGATATTTTCTATAGCCAATCCACTATTCTCTTGCATCTGGTTCTTGTAGATATTTAGAATAATTTGTTTTTCACCTGCGCTAAGATGAAGCTTTTTAGCCCTTTTTCTGGGTGACGTTAAGCTGATTTCAACCACTTCATCAGCTGTATCTGTGTCAGACATTTTAGACTAATATTAAATTTCCGCAAGAAAAATCAAGTCAAGACGTGCATAAAACGTTCGCGCTCATAAACGGGTATCCGTAACTGATTACAATCCTGTGCGTGGTGACGAACCATCAACGTGACGCTGAGAGTTCCCTCTACTATGCAGCGTTGCCAGGCTTAATGTCACAATGATCATGTTTTATTGGGAAAATTGTCAGAAATCGCCGAATGTTGAACAGAAACATTACAAGAAGTCTAACCTTGAAATGTGAGGCTACAAATCGATATTCTTATAGGGGGGAAGGGTAGGAAGCTGTTATGGTTCCTATTGGTGAAAGTTGGAAACGGTAATATCATATATGGCATACATTCGGTTGAAGGTGTGTGCACGGAAAATAGATTGCGGATAGGATTTTAATAGATAAATCTGCACAATAAACACAAAAGGAGATTTTTGTATTTCCCTGAAGAATATCTCAAGGTTATTTCAGATGTACTCATCGAAACTTTATGGAAGGATTATCGAAACCTTATTTTCAATTGCGATAGGGCCACATACCTCGACATCGCATTAATGTGAAAAATAAGACAATAGAAAAAAATTCCCTCACTGATGCTAACTCTTAGGAAAAATTTAACTATAAAGATTGCACAAAAATTTTCTTCACCTTTTTGAGCTTGTTTTCGCATCTCCGTATATGCCGTTCATAATTTGCTGCAGATCAAATTGGAATATACCTTTGTGATGCCATTTATTGTTATATAATGTCTTTTACAACAGTTATTGCACGTATTGCACCAACAGATTGATTTGTGATCCATGCGAATGTGATCAACCACTCTGGCGAAAACTCGCCGAGCGTGGCAACCGTGCGACTTTGTCTGGAGGCTCGTCGCTACAAGCCAATCAGGAAGAGGCCGACAGAGCGCCATGGCTACCGATCACGCGTTGATCACGAATCAACCACTGTTTACGATTACATTGTAGCTTCGTTAGATACACTTTAGATGGCAAAACTATGAACATGGCAGCATAATTCATCTTACATGCAAGGCATCCTGTAATCCATTTTGGCGCCAAATCGCATGTACCTGCTACCTGTGTTGTTGAGGCAGTTTGCTTATTGTTTTGTTAAGGGTATGTGATGAAGTTGTGAAAAGGTTGAATTGCCATTATCTGCTAAGGAAAACTTAATTTATTCACAAAGTGTACCGCTAATCCAAGGGTGAGCATCTCTAGATTATTTCTTCAAAGATAACAAGTAAGGTTATGTTTTGGAAGGGTGTCCAATAACTACGATGATTTTGTTAAGTTTTTCAGTTGTTGGACATTTGTCCAATAATTGAAATTTGCATGACATTTTCAGTTTGACTGCACTACTTTCCCAAAATGTTCTTCTGAATTCAATTATACAACTGAAAGTGATTTATATGATGTACATCCAGTAATTGGACGCCTGTCCAATAACTAACTTAGTACGAGTGCGATAACTAAGCTTGTGGTTTCCAGGTCATCCAAAGGTTACCAAACATGCCAAAAAAGCATTCATATGATGCAAATTTGATGGAATTAGCAATACAGAAAGTTAAAAATAGTAACATGTCTTACAGGGCTGCAGCTAATAAATATGGGATTCCAAAATCCACAGTAGAATTCAAAATAAAAAATCCAGGTCATAAAAATACATGCGGCCCATCTCCAGTACTTTCGACAAAAGAGCTTGCGTCCCGTGGATTTCCGAGAAAAAAAAAAGGATGACATAATGCATAGCGTCCAAAAATTTTTAATAGAAAATCCTCGCCCTAATCCATTCAACAACAATAGACCATGAGAGTGTTGGTTCAAAGCATTTCTAAAAAGACAGCCATCTATTAGACAACGAACAAGCGAACCAGTTAGTGCGGCAAGTGCTTGTGTGGTAGAAAAGGACATACGGAACTGGTTCACCGATATAAAAAAGTACCTGGATTCAAAGAATATTAGCATGGAACATCCTTCCAGAGTCTACAATTGCGACGAAACGGGCTTTCAAGTTTGCCCGAATACGGGTAAAGTTTATGCTGCAAAAGTTGCGAAAAATATATACACTGCCGAAAAGGGATCTCCTAAAGAGAATATTACTGTTATGTTTTTATTTTCATCTTCTGGAATCACTTGTCCGCCGATGATAATTTACCCCTATAAGAGAATTCCATAAAAAATAAGTTTAACAGTGAATCCGGACTGGGGAGCTGGAAGATCTGATAATGATTGGATGACTGCAGATACATTTTATGAATACAAAAAAAATATATTTCATCCATTTTTAGTTTGTGCTATTTTTAGATGGTCATAAGTCACACCTGATATATGAGCTGAGTCTACTTTGTAATGATCTCAACATCGAAGTGATAGCTTTGTACCCTAATGCTACAAGGATCCTTCAACCATGCGATGTG